TTTCTATTTGTTCAAAATTTTTAACTATCTGTTTAATTTTTTTAACTATCTGTTTAATTTTTTTTCTCTTCTTGGTTTAAATATTTGTCCAAATTTTATTATTTGTTCAATTTTTTCTCCTGAATTAATTGTATCTGTTCATTTTTTTGTTAAATTTTTTCTGTCTGTTGAAATACCAAGCAAAACCAAATCCTATAGGTTGAAATAGATTGCCAAACCAACCCTTATCTGTTGAAATGTCCCACTACCAACACTCAAATATAATAGAGTACATAAGCATATATCTGTTCAATTTTTATTTTTATTTTTATTTTTATTTTTATACGTTCATCCACTATTATAACAATAGCAACAATCAAAAAGGAGGAGAAAACTGAGAAGCTTTCTTACTTGAGACAGCTTGGCAGGTACTTTGGTTGTGGAACAAGAACCAAAACAACTAGACATTGAATATTAGAAAATATGGCAAACAGAAACAAATGCCTGTAAATGTACTTCACGTGGAAATCTGCAAACTATGAGGAGATACAAAAAAATGCATATGGCAAAGAAATTACCCCAATGTTCATAGAGCATATATGGTGGATTGCTGGATTTAGAACTCAAATTATATGTTCCTAATTTTTTCCCAAAGTAACTCAATTGTCATTTAAATACAAGAAAACATACTTACATGGTGTGATAAGTCAGCATCCATGATTACAACAAAATTGCCCGAAGCATGCTTCAAACCATGAATATAAGTAGTTCTTGAAATTACAACTGCATCAAGGACCAGCTCATTGTTTTCATTGCAAACAGAAAAGCTTATATACATACCTAATCCGAGCTTCTTAGGTCTACCTCAACAGCTGCAATTATATAGAGCCAAAAGAAATGGTGGTTTACAAGCTATGAACTGAGAAAAATCATTGATCATCAAAATGACTGAATCTGCTTTTAGATTAAATAACAGTGATCGAAGCTAGAAAATCAAACTAGAGAGAGAGAGATTGAAATGTAGGGCCGCTTCAGATCTGTGATCTGTGATCTCCACTGCTTCAGATCTCTGAGCTTGTTAAGTTCGAATCAAATGATTGGCCGAGACCGATCTAGGCTATGGTCTACGGTGGTGCGCATAAGTCGTCGTTGCTGTGGTAAATAGGCGGTGGTTCACCGTCATTGATGGCGGCGGATGAGGAGTCCTCGACGGGGAGGTCGAAGTTGTAGCATTGTCATCGAATGTCGCCTCAATTGGTCTGTGAAGAGAAAGAGGTAGAGAGAGCGTGTGAGAGTCTACTAGGTTTGGGAGATATATATAAGTGAGAATATTTTGATCATTTTAGAGTATCCGCATCAGTTTCAACAAATTTTAAACTAAATTATAATTCAAAATTCACTTTTGTATTTTAGTTAGTCTCTTTTTTATGTACGCACTCCATCTAAGTCTCTATTTTAAAATTTTATTTCATTAAAATATTATTTTTTTTCTTTTATCTTTTTCAATTTAAATATATGATGGATTAATCCTAGAAGAACAGTAAACAACAACAATACAATCACACAAGGAGGTCGACCGGGCAATTGACTGGTCAGGCTAATTTTGGACATTTTCCTTCTTTGTTACAGGGCACTTACGGGACATTCAGGAAGACATCTGGATAGACGACCGGCCATGGCTTCTTGGCCCAGCTTTGCTCCAAAAAAAATAATAAAAAAATAAATTACTGTATGAGCAGTGCCTCAACAAATCAGGTGAGACACTGTAACAAAGTCAAAATGAACGAAGATTATAGAGAGTCTGATGGAACTGATATTTATAGTTTTTGCTCTCTACTATAAGTTCAAAGCCATTATAGAGAAGTTGATGCAGATGCTCTTACTTGAGTTTGTCCTTTTGGACAAATAATTTCATCGCCTAAATTGTTCACTAAACAAAATTTAAATTTATGAATGGAGGGCCCTTTAAAAGCTCGTTGAAATAGGGCCACACAACTTGCATTTTTTTTTTTTTTTTGTTTTTGGAGATCAAAGAAGAAAAAAATTCCTCGTAACTATTCGAAAATCATGAAGTGTGCTTATTGGCCCAAAATGGAGAAATTTAGGTTGCGTTTGGTAGAGTTTTAGAATTATGATTTGATAATAGGGTTGTATTTTGATTTTGTAAGTTTTGGAATTATGATTTGAAAAGAGAAAATTTGTTTGGTTATGAGTTTTGAAAAGACTTTTTAATTAAGTTTTGAATTTTTGATATGACATATCAATTGAGAAAATTTGTTTAGTTATGAGTTTTGAAAAGAGTTTTCAGAACTTAATTCAAAAAGTTATAACTCATAATCAAACGCACAATTCAAAACTCTATTGTAAATTCTATTCAAAAATCATAGCCAAACTCTTTTTAACATTCAATTCAAAAAAAGAAGTTGTTATTTTGGTATAAAAAAAATGAATTCTATACTTAAAAAATATTAAAAATAAATATAATTTTTTTTTTCCAAACAACAGGTGGCAATTGGCAATTGCAAAAAAATAAATAAAAAAATTTATACTATCCTGGCCAACCAGCTGGACGTCCGGGGGTATATCCAAGAGGATGACCGAGTAGATACAAAATTTAAAAACTCCCTTATTTTTCAAAATGGAGAAGACGAAAGAGAGATATGCCAAACGTGAAAGAAAAATATGTTTTAAAATGTATAGTAGAATTATATTTTCAAAACTCTATCCAAATGAAAGGTACAAAAGAAAGAGTGAAATTATGATTTGAGAATTTTACCAAACACAGTCTTAAAGCCCCATTCAATGTCGTATTGGCCCAAACGAGTAAAGTCTTTTTCATATCATCGCTGGCTTTCATTTGGTGTTTTGCGAGCCCAATTTGTAGGCCCTCTATTATTATTATTATTACTATCAAGATACGTTTCGTGTGAATATTTTTTGGAAAATTATTAGACAATTTAGAGCAGTAGGTGTTCATACTTCTTCACTAATTATTATTTACCATACGTCTCATGTTCCTCAATTATTTAACATAAAATCATAAGTTTCACATTTTTTATCAATCATAATATCGTGAAGTACCACGCGACTGTACTCCAGGAATACCCAATAACTTCCCTTTTTTTTAAAGCTGCATTTGGACAATGAAAATGTGAAAAAAAAATATAAGTTAAATGTTCTTTAATAGTTTTTTCCCTTTTCAAATTCTTATACAAATCTATGATTCAAACACAAAATTAGAATTTTTTTTTTAAAAAAAAAAAGAAAAAGAAAAATGTGATTCAATCATGTATTCATTGATATTTGATAACTTTTATTTTTTGTATAAACAATATGTTTAATAAATTCTATGACAACAACAGTTTGGATTATTGTGTTGAGCCATCGGGCCCAGCAAAACTCTACAGTTGGATGCCGAATTGAAAAGAATTCATTTTCTTTTTCTATTAGAAAAATGATTGGTAGCTGGACACCAAAACTTATACTAAAGTCGTGGTTTTTCGTACTGAAACCAAAATTTTCTATAGTCATTCAATTATGCAATGGAAAATATTCAAGCATAAATCGAAATATAAGGGCGTCAAATAAAAGAAGAGGACCAAAAAACCTTGATAAATTGAAGAATATAAGACCTTTTTTATTAGGGACATTCAACAATTAATTCTTATTGATAAATTTATCATTGTAAATTTATTCATAAAAATAAGAGAGACTGATAAATTTATCAATAAAACCTAATGAATAATAAATTTCAAAAGTAAAACCTATTAATTTCGAAAGTACATAGGCATATACACTTACACGAAGCAATTGACATTTTACTTTATAAAACACTGTATAACATAACTTTATAAGATCTGATTCTTCAGTAATGAAACTATCGAAAACACATTAATTTGTTCCTATAGAATCCAAAATCTCCGACCATATGATGTGCTTCATCCATGTCTTAGCGGATATGATATGACAGAAAACAGGCCCATTTTGCTTGATGTGGGGGCACATGAGCATCACATTGTACTCTCTTTGTTCTGTTCTGCTGTGCTGCCTTATGCTGCTGTTTGCTGCCTTGCTTTGTTTTTACTGCTGCTGTATCTATAGGAAGGCTACCTTGTTTGCTTTTTCTCTTTTTGCTTTGTTGGTCACTCACAAATTTTGGCTTGAGCTAACAAATGATAGGGTGTCTTTTTAGTGCCAACCTAGTTGGGATTTAGAGGGTTCACTTTGATGCTTTTTTGCTCTTGCCTCATCTTTATTGATGTAATTTCATATTTTGTATATTATTTTCATCAATAAACTTTTTCTTATTGCTGATCAAAAAAAATTGTACTCTCTTTGTTGCTACATTCTGTTAGCTGTAAATTTTGGGCATGAAGGTGACACTTCATATGGAGAATTTTAATGTTGTTCTAGTTTACTTTCTGATATATATGTTCAAATCTTATTACAAGTACTTTCGATTAATTTTCATTACGGAATTATTCTCTAAGAATGTTTCTAGTATTCAAAGGAAATTTCAATTTATAATAATTTTCTTAGTTCTTTGCCAGAATCGTAAAACAAATAAAGTGTCAAATGGTAGAGATACTTGACCAAAGTTGGACATTCTTGCCTTAACTTCTTGGAAAATGCTAAACATGCATAAAAAAATGTCAAATTTTTCTTACAAATTGATGTGGCATATAGATCAATTTTGAAATAAAAAAATGGGATCCATTTTACTAACACGATAAGTGTCATATTAATTAGTAAAAGAAGTTTATTTGTATAGCACTACTCTAGTTTTCTTTTTCTTTGGAATCATACAATTAACTAAAGGGTAATAATACGTCAACACAATTTTTATACAGAAATTGCATATAATACAATATGAGCTTTCATGATTCTTTTATTTTAAACTAAAGCATCAATTATTATAGCTACGAATTCTAATAGGGGTATTGCTATTCAAATAATGTCACTAGTTCCTGAAAGTAAATGATCATTCTGATAACATGCATTGTGATTAAGAAAGAGCGAGCTAGCTGGGGAATAATTGTTGTTAACATAAAGAACTTCATGAAAACAAAGCCTGCAAAAGATGATAAGCACAACAAAGCGATAGCTTTTTCTTTATACAGAGACAATGTGTACAGTTCTCTCTTTGCCTTTCACGTGACAATTTGCTAGAGCTCGAATACAAAGGTGACATGAAAATTATTCACAAAGCTCTGCCCTTTTGAATCATGTCTTGTACCCATTGCAGCCTTTTGACAAAACCCAAAAAAACAACACTGTTTTGTCACTTCCCCTTCAACTGGACCACCGCCAAATATTAATAATCCATCTCATGCATGCCATTGGTAGGCCCAAACGAAGCCTATATCTTCAAAAATTTTCTGTTCTTCTCACCACCGTTGTTGAATTATACTTTAAAATATTCATATCTTGTGATACTTACATAATTCTATGACTACGACTGTATTGAAACAGAAAAATAAAGTAATTTGGTAACGGAGGATCTCTTGACCCTTAATGTACACTTTAACACTAGAAGGCATTTGATGCTCCCCAGTATTGCCTCAACAACCCAAGAGTCACATATTTATATGGAATTCATTGACAGGTTTCACACAAATGTATGACTCTGTAGTTGTTGGGCCAATACCTTAAAAACACGCCATAATTTTGCCTGCAAGACCAAAAATTATTCATCGCCATGGGACCATATGGATGGATGGTCCATATCTATTTGTGGCACGGCCACATCACTGCCCGTGAAGGTGAATAATTGCTCCATCAGGAGACTTGAGTCCACACAAATACTCAATCCTCAAACACACAAGGGGCCCAAGCTGTGGCATACACCGTGTTGTGACCTTTCCATGTAAGCACCAACATATCTTCATCTTTCTTCATTCCCCAACCGCTGGCATGTTCATCTAGCAACAGCTTAACTTCCCCAACAGTCTCTTCATCAAATGGAACACTTAAAAAACAGGAGTTTTTCATCCTCTGACACAACTTAATTCCAGATTCTAACCTCTCTATCCTTTGAATCCCTTCAAAACCGATTATATTTTCAATCTTATGACCAATATCAGCTTCATATTCTATTCTTTGGGCACTATCCTTAGGCAAGAAAGTTTCCAAGGCATCAAAAGGTATCCAAAGATAATTGAAACAAGTAGTAATCCTTGAAGTGAGACTCGATGCACCTAAATCGGAGTCCTCATCGACTATGATGATAATGCGAGGATTAAGCCCTTTAATTATTTCAAGAAAAGCGTCGCGAGCACACCCTTGTTGCTCATCGGGCAAATACCTTATCCAGTTTTGGCAATTGATGACCAAAACTTCATCATCCCTAAGATTTAAGGTAGCTGGATTGAGTTTACTTAAGAATGAGTCATAGTGAAAGCTAGAGGATTCTTCAGATGAGGATGTGTGATCTTCAATAACATTGAATTCAAAGAGAACTTCCCTCAACTTAGCGAAATTTGCCAAGCGCAAACCTACTTCTTCACTCGACACATTGAGCAAGGGAGGAACATGAGGCCTCCATGAAGGAACCGAGATTCGAAGCGAAGGCGGTCCTCCCTCCCTCTTACCCAATGCATCTATGAGAGTAGGCCATTGCATACAGTGAGTGATGCTAAAATCTAAGATATGAACTTTAGGACACCCTTCAATTGCCTTAAAAATGGCACTGTTTGATGCACAAAACCCAAACCTATGCCAAGGGATTAAGTCAACATACCCGGCAAGCTCAGTGACCGACATCAACCTCCTCTGAAGAAGGGTGTTGCTTCCATTAAAATTCATGGCTGTAGGGCAAACCCTAGATGCTCTAGAGATGAGTGCCCTTAAAAACCATGAGGTGAGCCTCTGGTTAGGGTCTCCGACAGCAGAGGCCACGTTGTTGAGAACCCACATGACTTGTTGAGCTAGAGTCACATCGTTGCTCTCTAGGGCACTTGCACAGTGGAGTAGAAGCTTCTCTATGCACCCTCCGTCAAGGCTGCCGAGACACCCTTTGAGTGCACCCGATAGAGAGCTCTGAGCACTACTCAAGAGACTAGGGTTTTGTAATGAAATGGGTGTTGTTCTAGTACCTCTCAGTTCTGTTTTCATAGCTAACAATTATATATATGACTAAAAAGAAAATTAGGGTTTAGTTTCCTTCCCTGAAACGTGCATGGGAGGTCTGATAACTTCAGAGAAGAAAGGAGAATAGGTCTCCCAGTTGTGCTTTTTGTGGACACGTGTCCGATGGGTATTCGTGTATGGGATTGAAAAACTTTCTGTTGGTAGATGAGAATTTTCAGGATGAACAAATATGAGGTGAGCTCAAGAGGCTTAAAACTGTGCTTGTGTTGAGAGAGAGGATAGAGCTGAAAGCTAGTTTATCATATACTAGCTGAGCTATAAAGCCATATATATACACAAGTAAAGGTTGCTATTGAATAATTTTGAAGATGCTAAGCCAAAAAGGTGTGTGTTAACTATAGTTAATTGAACCATGAGTTTATGTGCTAAAATGACAAGACTAGCTACCTGGGGTTCCAATTATCCATCTCTTTTTCCTTTTTTGCTATAGCAGACGAGTAGGACTTGATGCCTTTGTTTGGGTTCGTGCACTTATTTTCTTACGCTGTGTTTGGTTGGGGGATTTGGGAAGGGAAATGGAAAGGGAAATGGAAATGAAAGGAAAAGGAGAAGGAATTAATAGAATTACAAATCCCAACTATGTTTGGTTGTGTTGGTTATAAAATAGAATTGATGTCCTAAAAGGTCTCCTATTTCTTTATTTATTTCTCACCCCCTTTCTTTTCCCATATATTTTTTATTATAACCAAACATAAATAGGATTACATTTCTCATTCCTTTTCCAAATCCCACCCCAAAAACCCCAACCAAACACAGCATTAGTTTAATTATTTGGTAAATCACCAATGAATTATAAATATCTATCTGGGTACAATTAGAGTTGCAAACGGGTTGAGTGAAGTCAAATTTTAGTATCTTTAGATTTGTTTATTAAAATTTTAACAAGTTCAACTTCAAGTTCGAGCTTAATAAAAATTTAAGAGTAATTGACACTGACACCCCTGAGGTTTGGTCCAATTACATCCCACCTTCTGATGTATTAAAAATTACATTCTCACTCTTGTGGTTAATAGTTTTAGACTCCTGCTCATATAAAAGGCAATAACTCCTAATAAAAAAATAGAGAAAATTACATTGAAAAAAAAGTAAAGCAATGGAAAGGAAAAGAAAAAGAAAAAAAAAAAAGAGAAAGTAAAGCAAAGTAAGAAAAGAGAGAGTGCATGAGTTTAATATTTTCATTCTGTCTAAATATTTATAATGACAGTGAAGTTAGTGTAATTTCTCAAACGTTAGGGAGTGATATATATTAAACTCAAATCTCAAGAGGTGTAAGTGTAATTTGCCCAAAATTTAATGAACCGAGCTCGAGCCAAGTTTATTTAGACTTGACTCGAGTTCAAGCCTATTTACGAGTCTTAACGAGTCAAAAAAATTATAAATTTATATTTGCGTATGAGACTAAAATTATAATTAAAATTTTGATTATAAAATTATATATACAATATATGTAAACATACTTCAAAAAAAATAATATTTTACCAAAATAATAATATTTACTTCCACTATTATATAAATGTATTATCTATAGTTAGTTATTATTTACGTTTATATTTTTTAAATATATAAATAACATAATTATCTTATTTTTTTATTCATATTTTATATTATTTAATATATAAATAATAAATGTTAAATGAGCCAGTTAACGAACTGAGCTTACTTGCCGAGTTTTAATATGTTTGGGCTTATTTATTAAAATTTTAACGAGCTCGAGTTCGAACATAAAAAAAATAAATAAAAGATTAACAAACTGAATTCGAACAAGCTTTTATCAAGTCGAGCTCGAGATTGTTCACGAATAATTCTGTTCATTTGCAGTCTTACATACAACATTAGTGTTATAAGGTTTGTTTGAGTATTATTATTGATCCTATGCAAAAACTATGAAAAAATAATTTCAAAAGTGGCGAACATTTAGCGTAAATTTAAAATTTAAATTTAGTGTGATGTAAGCCATATTCACAATTAATTTAATCCATACATTTAATTTTTGACCTTTTTTTTTCCTAGAATAAGAGATAAATAAACAAAATTTTCATGTGATTTTCATGTGATACTCTGCGTTGGTTACTCGCCAACTTCAATTCCAAATTAGTTAGGATTTGATTTTTTTCGACTTGTTGCGTTGTTGCACTTATCTCTTTTTCTTTATTGATGTAATATCCTTGTCCATCAATGAAGTTCTTTTTTTTTTTTTTTGTTGATAAAAAAAATAAATAAATAATAAGATTCATATTAATTAATACACGTGAGACTCTCTTACATTTTTGTTTAGAAATTATAGAGTCCATTGATGTATGAAATTATTTCTTCAAAGCTACTTAGTATATCAATGGGCCAGGTGTATACATTTTTATGAATCTTTAAAAGGAAACTATGAAGTAATAGCAAGGGTCATTACTGACTCAATCAAGCCAAACTCATATCAATTCAGAAAATGTTGGGCAGATGCTACTTTCCTTTGATTCTGTATCATTATTAGGAAACCATCACTTATTATTAGTTTTGGCAACACATTGCACTTTTTCTAAGTTAATAATTTGCTCAATATTCCTTCACCAATCCTTTTTTATCTTTCATTAGACAAGTGACGAGGGTTCATTCTACTAATACAGAGGATAAAGAATAAGTTAAAAAAGCTGTCTTAGCCGGCCACATTTTTGTCGAATTTGAGCTCATGGAATGTCAATTAAGACAAATCCAATACTATATTTTAATTATTATTTTAGCCAATTTGGTTTTCTCTTTGAGTTTAGTGATTGATGGGTACCCTTCATTCCCATCCTTACAAATTCATGATATACAAGATATCAACTTGGTTGGTTGTGCCACATAATGCCATAGCAAAAGACAAATGGCACATCTACACATGAAGACAAATAAGATTTATTTCATTCAAAATTTAAGACCCATGCATGTGATCGTTAAAAATAATATTACGGAATATTTTTGTACCAAATTTCCAAATTTTGATTCTTTTAAACCATTTAAGTTCTTCCCCCTCTACTATTTCAAAATTAGGCTTATGTAAGGGTTAAAGTACGGCCAAAATAAATTTAGGTTTTGCCAAAATAGTATACACGATTACCACCAAAAAAAAAAAAAAAAAAAAAAAAAAACTAAACCGACCACCGAGATTTCTTCATTGAATGCTTGGTTTTGAGCTTTTATATCGTGCGGTTAAATCTAGTCCGAGTTTTTTCAAGTTCAAATTGAGAAATTTGTGGGCTTTACCACGAATCTTATTTCAATGATCTAAACAATTTATTTTATATGGCCCTCTGTGTATTTCATGAAAAAATTTAAGTCAATCTAACATTTTTTATTTTATCATATTTATCTCTAAAAAATGAATAATTTATTTTCAAAATATATTTGTTGTTCAATTTTTTGGAGACAAACGCGATAAAATAAGAATGATACGATTATTAGATAAACTTAATTTTTTTACGAAGAACTCTACAAAATAAACAGTTCGAATTATCGAAACAACACTCATAATGTGCCTCATATGCTCGTCAAATTCTCTCAAGTTCGAATCTAAACTTGAGAGAAGCTCAACCCTTAAGCTACTCTCAGCATCCAAAATATGCCTTGACGTAGGTGTAATTGGGTTTCTTACAAATTGCTTTACGGTGCTAAAATAACAAATATGTAAACTAGTCTATTTACATATCTATTTTTCCAACAAGTTATTTCTAGACTCAAATCACTGTCATTATCACATTATCAATAAAAGGTAAATCAACTAGGCCTAGTCTAGTTGGTCACTATAACTCTTCTAATTAGGGTTTAGTCCCAAAAGGAATGTTATGAGTTCAACTTCCTCTTAAAGAGAGTTGAATTATAAGGCAAACACTTAGGCGCTGTTTGGGAAGAAAAGGTTGAGGCTATTATAGCCTCAAATTACAAATAAGCCAAAAAGCTCCACTGTTCAAAGTTTTTCAAAAAAAATAAAAATAAAAATAAAAAAATAGGCTGCAGCTAGTGTAGGCACAACCTACACTGTCAAAGTGTCAAATTGTTACATCACTTAGGAAATTACAATTTTGCCCCTTTACATCAATTTAAAAAATTATAATATTAGGGACAAATTAGTCATTTTAAATTCAAATATCATTTCAACACACTTTTCAATACAACGACTCAAATAAAAATCCATCTCATCTTCCCAAATACAAAAACTAAAATAGCCTACTAAAATAGTCAAAAAACCTCTAAAATAGCCACTTCCCAAACGAGGCCATAGTATATTACAAGGGTTGGGAGGTTAACTCTCATAGGTGTTAATCTAAAAACTAAAAATATCTCAAAGGGACTCTTTAAATGAAATATGTTGACTATTATAACTGGCATTATCATATTTTAGCCATTCCAACGAGTTAACTATTATAATAGTTATTTTAACAAAAAAATTTCAAGGCTAGTTATATTTGAAAAGTCTTAAAAGGCTCTTTAAATAGTTTGTGTATGTAGATAAGTAAAATAAAAAGTAAGATTTGTACATAGATAAAAATTAAAATAAAGGGCATATAAATTTTTTTAAAATATATATTAAAAAAAAAGTTATCAGTGAGTGGTCTTTTGAAAATATTTGAAACGCTTGCTGCAGAGAGACAGAGGGAGCTTCTCTCTCAACTTTGCAGAGAAAAATCCAACACAGTGTCGTGCGAGTTAATTGATATGTTCATCGGTTATTCATACTCCTTAAAAGGGCAATACTTTCTCTATTGACGTTGAAGAAAGAGCAAATAACATGTTCAACATATTGAAATAAACTCCACTATAATCCATGACTTCTCAGTCCTGAAAATCCAGTCCTAATTGATGAAGATGGTAGTTCTCATCAGCATATTTTATTGGAAAATAAATAAATCAAGGGTAATTTGAAAAATAATTATCAATTCATAAAATAACTTATAATTTTAATTATTAATATTTACAAAATTTATCACTGATTAATAATAATTATTATTATTTTTGACAAATATCACAGATGTGATATTTTCCATATTTTAAATATATGATGACAACTTAGAACTTTTTTACTATTACTTTGTGGCAATTATGAAGCCAGTAGAGGCCATGGTCACCTTAAGTTTTTAAAATCTCTTTTCTCATCCCACTAATTTATGGATATTATGGGGATATATTTTCTGAGTACCAACACGTGGCAAGGTGACGCCGTCGTGTCAGCCGAGGTGCCACGTGTCTTGGTCGTTGTGCCGAGGTCATCTCGGCTAGGCCGAGGTTGCCTCCGAAGATATCGGAATC